CGGCTGGCTGAGCTCAGTGGTGGATGGACGGGCAGACAGAGGGGCGCTTGACCCGGAGCTGGTGGTACTCACGTCCTGCGGCACTTGGACGAAGGCGAAGGCGTACTCAGTGGCCTGCGCGGGCAGCACGCGGGTGCTGAAGGCGGGCGGCAGGGCACCCAGGCGTGTGGCCGGCAGCGTCTCCTTCTGCAAGGCACAGGGGGGTGTCAGCCAGGGGCACGGCCGTGGCCGTGCTGGCACCAGCCGGGGAAGCCCAGGCCTGATCCCAGCCCAGCCCCATGGGCATCGCGCCAGCGCTGGCCCCGGCCGCCCCCCCGGCACTCACATTGCCGTAGTCGATGTAGAAGACGTGCACCTTGGCCGGAGACTCCACCTTTTCTACCCGGGCCCGGTACCTGGGGACAATACCAGGGGTGAGGGGTTGCCCCCAGGTCCCTCCTTGCCCCCAACCCTGGTGGCCCCAAGACCCCCAGATGCGGCACGTGCACGGCATCAGCCCCCCGGGTCCCAGGCAGACATGGCGTGACACGGCGTGGCGTGGGGGGCCGTGCCGTGGTGTGACGCGTCATGGCAAGCTGTGGCAGGGTGGGCCGCAATAGGGTGTGGCGGGACACGGCGTGGCATGCGGGGCTGTGACTCACCACTCCCCGTCCACGAACTTGGCGATGCAGTAGTCCCCACGGCGCGGGGCGTAGGAGCCCTCCAGGGGCGGGTGGCTGGCGATCTCGGCCCGCATGTTCTCCATCAGCTTCTCCAGCTGGGCCCCTGTGGCGGGGGGGGGCACGGCTCAGGGCGATGCGGCCGCAGCCCCCCGGGTTAGCACCGGGGGAAGCAGCCTGTCTCCAGCCCAGCATGGGGGCTCCGTGCCACCCCCCTGCCAGCGCTACCCCAGCCCGCCCAGGGAAGGGGAGTACGGCCAAACCCCTGCCTCGGTTTTCCCACCTGTAGCCTGGGTCCAAGGGTAGCGATGCCCATTCCAAAGGAGCTCCCAGGCTGGGGTAAGGGGAAATGCCTGACCCTCCTCCCCCGCCCCGGCTAGGACCCAGACGCCCACCTGTCTCCACATCCTGCACGTAGAAGTGCAGGTCGTCAGTGATCTCGGTGACGAAGACGGGCTTGTAGTTGGCTGCCCGCTCCTTCTCCTCCAGCACCGGTGCCGCCTCCTCCGCCGGCACCTCCTCGTAGTGTGACCACACCTGTGGGGGGGGGCGCGAGGGGCAGCTGAGATGGGGTGTGGGGAGCAAAGGGGGGCCTTTCCGGCCTCAGTGCCACGCGGAGGGGTGAGCGCAGCATCAGCTACGGCATGGCCACCTGTGCAAGGCACCCAGGGCTGGGGGGGGCAGGGGCTGCACGTCAGGAGTGAGGGGCACCCGTGGGGGTCTCTGACCTTCTCCTTGCGCTGCTTGGCGGCCTCCTCGGCGCTGAGCAGGGCCTTGTAGTAGGGGCTGCGCTCGGCAGTGAAGTGCACCTTGGAGAGCGCCTGCTCCACCAGCGACACGGAGAGGTTGGCACCGTCCACGTGCAGCCACCCGATGAAGTTGCCCGCCTTGTCCATGCTCTCCACCTCCACCTCCACCTGCGGCACACACCGGCCGTCAGCGCCCCGGCGCCCGCAGCCACCCCAGTGCCCTCATCACCTGCCTCCGTGACACCCAGACAGGAGCAGGGGCACCGGCACACTCCCCCTGTGCAGTGCCAGCCTTGCCACGCATACATGTGCACGTGTGCATGCATGTATATGCATGAGTGCACATATGCACGTGTGCAGAAAGCGTGCAGTGGCTCACGACCGCACTGGTGCACCCAACGCCTTGCGTGCCTGATCAGGACAGTCGTGGCACCCTGGGGCGTATTCCCAGGAGGTCAGCAGGGGCTGGGGGACCCCGCTCCCTCCCTCCGTGCCTCAGTTTCTGCTTCGGTAAATGAAAGCAACTCGTGAAATTCCCCAGCCCTCAGTGCATGTGTATGGGCACATGTGTGCATGCACATGTGTGCTGCCTGCCTGGGGGGAATCCAGGGGGTCCTGGTGCCCCCACCCCCACCCCGAGGTGGATACAGATCCGGCAGGGAGCCCATTAGCAGGATAATGCTGCACCTGGTGCTGACCTCCCCGGGTTATTAGTGTAAATTAGCCTCATAGGCCACAGAGAGCTTGGGGGACAGCACATGCACACACGTGTGCAGAAGCCAGAGTACCCGGGACATGCATGAGTCTGTCCTGGTCTCTGACTCAGCTGGCGTGTACTCGCACACACGCTTGTGCACACATACACATGCACATAGGCATGCACACCCCCTATACACAAGCACTCATGCCCATGTGCACACTCGTGTGCACGTATACACTTGCATGCATGTGTGAACCAAGGTGTGGGCCGCCTCCAGCCCTCCACCCATGGTTCTGGGTTCAAGGGGGCACCTGGGAGTGGGGTGACAGCTGCCCAGTGACGCTCCAGCCCTGGCGCGGGTGCCCCGGCTCCTCCAGCAGCAGCTGGAGGTTGCAGCCGGGCCCGCCACCCCCCCCCGCAGCGGGGGGAGGTGGCCGCGGGGCCCGCCACCCCCCTCGGTGACGCATGATTGACAGCCAGCGCTGCGCGAGAGCGCTGGCACCCGCCTGGCACTGATGCACTGACAGGCACCTATTAGCGTCGGAGCGTATCTGCGCCGCGTGCTGCCCCCCCCACTTCCCCTGCCAGACGCACAGACAGCTCCAGACCCGCCGCGGAGAGAACGAATGACGTGCCCAAGGTCACCAGCGAGTGCAATGGCACAGAGCCTGCCCATGCCACGGCTCTCGGGTCCCCGGTGCAGCCGGCTGGGGTGAGGGTGCTCGCCTGGCAACCTGGGTCTTTGGAGACCAGTGCTGCGGGGAGGGAGAGGAGCCAGTCGGGTCCAAGGAGGCACCGTGTCAGGGCAATGGCATCCCGGGAGCATGGCCCGCACTCCTGCAGAGGCAACGGGCAAAGCTTTGCATCCCAGACCGGTCCCAGGACATGCCACGGAGCCCTCACCCATGAAACATGCGTGCCCAGGAATATGCAGGGCTGGACACGGTGCCACCGGCCTGGCACGACCCGTTCAGCTGAGCTGCAGGCGATGGGCTCCATGCCAGACGCCGGCAAATCCAGCCCCAAAGGCAGCTAAAGCCACGTACCCGCATGGGTCCAGGGATGCATCCAGGGCAGCGTGCATGTGTTTCCCAACCCAGATGCCCTGCCCCAAGCTCCGGTGCCAGGTAGCCACGTGCTCCTGGGCACGGAGCCGGACCCTTCTGACCTGGGAATGGCTTGGGATTGCTCATGGCTTCGGGCCCCATCAGCACCCCAGCCGGGGCCGTGTCGCGGTGCCCGGTGCTGCACAGCCATGCAAGACCGTGCCGGCCCGGCCCAGCCAGCAGGAGAGGTGACCAAGGCCATGCCTGACAGGCTGCCCTGTGCCCGCAACATGCTGGCCGACAGAAACCCCCGTCCCTGCCACCACCCCTTGCTCCAATGCCTCTGCAGATGCTGGCCTGACCCTGCAGGAAGTCAGAGCGCCGAGAAGCTGCAAGTTCATTAGCTCACTGCCTTAACGAGCCCGGACCGGAGGGGGCAAACAGCCTCATCTGCACGGGAGAGATTAGTGCGCCGGCCTGCTGAATAGTGAGCTCGCCCCGGTGCCTGCGGCACCCAGCCCCGATCTGTCCCTGCTGCCGTCAGGGCCCATCAGGTGAACGGCTCATTAACTGAATTAGCCCGACTGGCACGGGGAAGGCAGAGAGTGGCCTGGCACAGGCCAGGGGCTGACACAGTCCGTGTGGCTGGTGGCACGAGGCCAGCTTGCCGAGCGCCCGGTCATTAGGGTGATTAGCAGCAGTTTCTGCCATGTGCCCACCCGGGGTTTCGTCTCCTGGCACGGCACAAGATCCTCCTTAATAAGTTGCCAACCGACAGGCTGGTTTGGGTCACGCCGAGCAGGTGCCCGGGCTGAGACCGTGAGCAGGAAACGGGACCCAGGAGTCCTCCTTCCTTGCCCTGGGGCTGGGCAGAAATGGGTGCCCACCCCAGCAGCTCCAGACACGCAATTCAATGCCCCCTTCCTGCCCTGACCTTTCCGCTCGGCTACTTGTGTTTGGCTCGACCCGGCTTCTGCACACACGTAGGAGTCAGAGCTGCCACCAGGACGCGGCTGGGTGGGTGCGAGGCCCCGGGGGCCCCATGGTCGTGCCCAGCGGGTCCAGCTGCCTGGGGCTGCCCGCAACTGCTCCACGTCTTCCCTGGCAGCCATGCCCGCCGAGGTGAGAGCAGCCTGCAGCACCCAGCTCCGCGTGCCAGCCGAGCAGCGGGGGAGCAGGGGTCAGATAAGGCTGTTATAATGGACAGTGTTGGTGCACAGAGCATGTGCTTCTCCCATGCACACCTGCACACTCACATGTACACATACGTGCATGCATACTCATGGAGGCACACACATACATGCACATGCACGCAAACACATGCACCCACCAGCACACATGCCTGCATGCACATGCCCACACCTGCACACACACACACACACACACATTCATGCACACATGTGCACACCTGCACTCAAAGTCATACAAAATTAGGCTTGGACAGGACCACACACACAAATACACATGCACTTACTCATGCACACTCACCAACAGACACACACACATACACACACACAAACACACAAGTATGACCACATGTGCACACCTGCACTCACAGAATCAGAGAAAATTAGGGACGGACAGGACTGCACATACAAACACACATGGACATGCTCATGCACACTCAGCATACACACACACAAGCACACACACACACAAACATACACATATTCATGCACACGTGTGCACACCTGCACTCACAGAATCAGAGAAAATTAGGCTTGAACAGGACCGCACATGCATACACATGGACACATACACGCACACTCACCAGCACACAGAAACACACACACACATACTCATGCATATAACATACATGCACATGCACACCCACCTGCACACACGCACCCCCCCCCGTGCACGCAAACACACACACCCCCTCCACCCTTGCAGCTCCTCCAGCTCAGCAGCATGTGACCCCGCCAGCCTCAAAGCACCACCGACCCATGTGCAACCGGGCAGAGGCACAGGGTCCTGCTCTCTGGGGGCTCCACTCACTACCCCCCCATCCCTGCCGGGGTCCCCGAGGAAGCTGCTTCTCCTCCCACGCTTCCCCCAGGCCCCTGGAAACAGCAACAAGATGCCGCGGGCTTTAGCCTCTGCCAGAGACACTCAGCTCTAGGGGTCACCTCCAGTCCAGCCCCCTGCTCCAGGCAGCACCAGCCCCATCCAACCCCCCCGCCCCCCCTACTCCCCAGCACTCAGCTCAGCTGCAAAGGCAGATGCGGGGGTAGCTGGAATGGGAGGAGCACACCAAGACACATGCATGTGCACACTTTGGGGTTAAGTGACATGCCTGGCGCCGCATGGGAATGCAGTGGCGGGGGTTGGAAAGCAGCAATGGCTCACTGGCTGCTTCCTCAGAGGTGGGAGCATCTGCACCCTCCCAGGCACAGCGTGTCCCCTGCACGGGCCCCGAGCACCACCGTGCCTGTTCTCCAACGCCCCCCCCGTGCTGCCACGGGACTGGTACCGTCCCCCCCTTGCCATGCACGTGCCCTCCAAACCGGAGCTTTGACTGGCAGAGACCTCTAGCACTGGAGCTGCGTAGAAGCCAGTAGCGGTAGTAGGCTGGTATCTCCTGCCAGCCGCAGGAGGGCTGCAACCCGGCCCCGGCTGGGAAGTGGGCGCAGACCTGCGCCCCCTCCCCACCCATCTGGCACGGAGCTGGCGCAGGCCCCCCCGTCATACCCTGCTCCCAGCTCTGGCACGCGTCTCCCCGCACGCAGAGTCCAGGAACAGCGGCCGGGAGCTTCCAGCTCAGCCCGAGGCCGGGGCATGCTGGGAGCAGAGAGCTGCCAAAACTCTTCACGCGTCTCCACTGAGCATGGGCAGACTCGGGCGTTTGCAGCCCCTGCGCTGGACTGGTTTGGATCCCCCCCCAAATTCAAAGCACCCCAAGGATTTCCCCGTTGTCTCGCATTTTTTGCAACTGCCGAAACTCATCCCGAAAAGTCAGCGGACGTGGAGCACCCCAGCCCGAAGGGCTGACACCCGAGCAGGGGCTGCGAATGGAACAGATCAGGCAACCTGAAGGCTGCAGGGTCCTTCCCGGACAGCCCCTAGCGCGCGCTCCCCCGACAGTGGCGGGCACTGGGCAAGTGGCTCGAGGGGCCGGACGCGCGTCGCAGTGATGGCTTCTCGTTCTGGCAGGGCCGACTTCCCCGCGGGAAGATGCGTCGCCGTGCCCCAAGTCCGACACGTGTGGCAGTGAATAGCTTCCGTGTCGCGAGTCCGCACGTAGGCCCCTGGACAAAGCTCCTGGCCCCGAACCCCTGCCTCGCACAGATCCCCGCAGTCAAGATCCCTCCTGGAAGCCCGACTTGGGTCCCAATGCCAGCCGCAGGGGCACCCCCAGCACCAGGAGCTCACGGCTGCTTCGACTTACGCCAGGTCGTGGCAGGGCCCAGAGGCGTCATGCAAATGGTGCGGCGGGATCCAGACCCAGGAGCAAAGCCAGGGTGCTCCCCGCCCCGCCGCAGCAGGAGAACCCCCCCATGCACAGTTAATTATCACCCCACTGCACCCATGACCCTCCTGAGGGAGAACGAGCCGCACATTTCCCTGGCAGCACGGAGGCAGGGCAGGGGGCGAAGTCCTGCGCCCAGGTGGATGGGACACCAGACACACTTGCTTACTTGCCCCCCACCCCCAGGCAGGCCCGCGGTGCCATGGGGGGCATGTGCTGGTCCCGCCTGGGTTTGGGCATGGGGGACAGGGGGGCGGGAGGGCTTTGCTAGGCACTCAGTGCCCGACTCTGCCCAGGAGCCGGAGCCCGCGAGGCTGGGCACAGATGCTGCCGCTCCCCCCGGACCCCAGACCTGCCGTCCGGCCAGAGCCCCCCTCCTGCACCCCGCGGCATCCGGAGGGAGCCGGCTGCAAGAGGCACCCCTCCCCGGAGCCCCTCCTTCAGCTCCCCACCCCCACCGTGCTCCCTCTCACCTCCCCACCTTTCAGAGCCCCCAAGCCAGGCTCTGTGCTGCCGGAAAGGAGACCCCAGGGCCTGGCTTTGCCCCCCCCTGCTCCGGGGCGCAGGTCCGGAGG